TACAATTACACAAATTTGAATACTAAATTATGCGAAAATATAATAGGTGAGAAAATGATAAACTAGTCTACTGCATAGCAATGGTGGCCCTTAAGCCTTAAATGTTTTTATATTACCACTTGTAAATCACTCTAGATTAATAAAAAATCGATATACCACTCTCTTACCATAACCACCCTAAATCTTGCCCCCTTTCTTTTATCAAGCAAATATCGACTTAGATAACCCAATAAGTATGCGCTCGTATGTTATCTCTTTTTAAACATATTAGTATGAACTTCTGTACTTCACCTGCAGATTAATTACTCTTTTGTCTCAACTGTCAGACTGCTCAGTTGGGCAGTGTTAACAGCAAATCTCCTGGTTCTAAGGCGTGTGAACTTAGCCACATGATACACATGAAGCCTTCACATGGCTAGCTCAGCCAAATTCAACTTGGGGCCATGGGTTTTTGTGGGTCACTGTGTTCATTGTCTTGTAGACTGGAATGGACCACAATTATATCTATGTATCTGTCTATATTAATATTAATTACTCCCCCTGTTAGATAATATGACAGACAAATACACATGCAATGAAAGTGTTTTGAGTTTACTTTGAAAGGAATCATAAGTAAGTTTTTATGTTTTAGGTGATAACGAGAACACAGTACAAGTACTGGGATCAGAAAACAAGGAAATGGCATGGAAAGAAATGGGTTTTCTTAACTCTTGCGTTTTGATCTGAATTAAGGGAATGTTTGCTACTTTAGTTCTCGTTTTGGCAATTTATTCAAAGGAAAACTAGATGCAGGGATGGAGGCAAGATTTTAAGTCATGAAATTATTGTCATTTCTAGAGGATTCGAGTTTGAGCACCATAGATGTTAGGTTTGAGCACCATAGGTGTTAGGGGTGTGAGTGTTCAATGTTGAAAGATTGAGAGTTAACTTTGAACAAATAATACCTTATATTTACCCTAAATTAATAAAAAAATTGGTACAAAAATTTGGCTAGTTGGGTTCCAACCAACCTGCACACATGGTAGGGTTGTAAACGAGTTAAGTTAAACTTGAGTATTGCTTACTACAATTCCACTCGAAAATTTTAAAATTAAGTTTGACTCGATTTGAAAATTTATGAACGTAAAATTGTCAAATTTGACAAACTCGAAACCAAAAATAAAATCTCGACTCGAACTAGTATCCAAACCTTAAATACATGAAAGTCTTATATTGTATTTTTTTGTAAAAAAAATATCATATAGATGTTAATATTATTAATAACTTAATTAAAAATAAATAAATTTTAATATATTATTTTGAGTAACTCACGAGTTTTCCTGGTCGAGTATTAAGTTTATGAATTTTTATTATCTTCTTAAATATGGATAATTGCAGACGATATAATAGAATCATAACTACTATTTTTGTTGTTGTTGAATAATGATACTTTTTATGTATATCATATTTAATATCCATCCTATGCCTATGAATGAAAATTGCTCGGTATACAATAATTAATATATGGTTGCAGAGTCTATGTATGGTTGCTAGTGTACAACATAATTTTAAAAGTTAATTAAATTATAGTAGTTTATGAATTTTTATTATCTTCTTAAATACTTGTTTTGAGTTCGGTGATGATGGCAAATTTCAAATCCAAGCATTAATTTCTCTCACGGAACAAATAAATAGCTTTAAATTTAGAGTTGAAACAAGAAGGTTTGTTGGCTAAATAATTTTTTTTGAATTAATGTCCGGTCTCTGATCTATTGATTGATTAATCCAGATTAGGTACTGCAGAGATGAGGGCAACTCTCCCAATCCAATTTGTTTTATTCACAAACGCCACAATTCGAACCTCTGACATTGCTTAAGGAATCTAGTGTCTCGTCTCGCTAGACCAATTGATTGTTGGTGTTGGCTAAATAATTTTAAGGCAAAAGAGCCCTTGTAGTAGACTCAATTTATCACTTTTGCCCCTATCTTATTTTTGCATCAATTTAATCCTTGAAGTTACTCAATTACATCATTTTATACACTGCTTCTAACTTAAAACCCTAAACCCTAATTTAAATTTTATAATTTAGGATTTTAAGTTAGAAGTAGGGTATAAAATGATATAATTAAAAAACTTTAAAGGTTAAATAATACGAAAATTAGATCTATTACATAAAGAAAGATTACTCTTAATCTTAATTTTAATTCCGTAGCATGTGACAATACCGTGTTTATTTTAAAGGTCTTGTTTCCTTCTGTCATATCAATTTGGGGGAAAGAAGTATAAAGCATGTAGGGAATTGATTTATTCTATTTTAGAGGCAAAAATGTATATATAAAAAATTGAAGTTTAGTACTATTTTTCTCGAGTGGATGCATTTATGTAAATAGATATTATTAAATTACCACTTTGAATTCTCAACTACACATATCTCACGCGGTAACATCGTGCATAATATTACATTTAAATGTCCTACGTTAGGTGGATTTTGTTGGTAATATAGCCAATCATTCACGATGTTTATTTTTTAAGCTAGTTTCCCCTCATGCCTTAAACCTCGCTTTGTTTACAAACTTAAAATGAGATATTAATTAGTCCTTAATTAACAAGTATGAAATATTATACTTTACCCCTTTTATAATCATCAGTATCTTTGATCGAGTACTATAGAGATTCACCATTAAATGATATATCTCAGATTAATTTACTTCATTCATAATGTTAGAATTTAAATATTGATTATTATTTTAAAAGACTTGATATGATGTATATAATCATCAAAATCCCTATATTTGATAATGTCTAATGAATTTGACAGTTTATATATTGTGTCTTGATTCTTATGTTTTATGTTCTCAGTGTTTAATTAAGGGTTCTCATTAAAAATCGCCTCAATGAACTCAAGGTTGTGGTCGAAAGGGAAAGAGTACCCAAAGATCCATTAATCAAGGTGGAAACATGTCCAATTTTACATAGTTAGCAATAAATTCGAGCCAAAAAAGAAAGACACATTTGAACGAAGGACTTGCGTTGTCAATGCATAAGCCACACTATTGACTTCTCTACGTACAAAAACTACATTACATTGATCGAAAGTAACACAAATACTACTAACAGACTGCATATGAATCCCTAAAGTAGCAATGAGCTTGTTCACCACCACGGTAGAATCAAGCTCAAAAACAACATTTGACCATCCTTCTTCTAGAGCCATAGTAACCGCTGCGTCAAGGTTATGAAATTTTGCGAGCCCAGGGTCGAAACCTCCGGCAGAAGGAATAGCTAGACCTCCGAATACAACTCCCTGCGTATCTCGAGCAATGGCACCCACAACCTTCTTTTCTCAGTGTTATTTGTGTAAATATAAACAATTTAAGATTTTTTTATTAATATCTTAAACATGAATATAATATTTTTATTAAATCTATTGTACAATTCGTGTTAACCATATAATTTAAACGTTGATTATAATATTTACTATATTACTCATTAAACATATAATATTTGTGTATATTTATGCCACGTGTCTGAAATGAACTCAATGCTTAAATTAATTTAACTTTCAATTTTAGTAATTATTTAGTAATTTGAGAGATTGAAAAGGCATAAGATACCTTTAATACACGAGTTATTATGTTATAATTTGAATGAAACTCGTGTATTAGCAGTTTGTAATTTTTAACCAATGACATAATTTATTTTGAATAAAATAAATGAATAAATAATATTCTTTTATGTAAAAAAAAATCATATTTTTAATATCAAGATTAGATTTATATTAATTCCTTTTTATGTTTTAATAAACTAGTTCTAAAATTACATAATAATTAAGTTTTCTTCCTTATATTATTAAGAGATTTAGTCGAATGACATATTATTTTCTTTAAAAACTTAGGATTTAAGCAGTTGTATTTATAACGTGTGTATTGTCAATGACTAAAAAAATTATTATAAAAAGAAACATTAATCTATTAATTAATTTTAGATAATATAATAATAACAATTTATATATTTATATTAATTTAAAACTCACATATCCCAACGAGATAATAACATGGTTTAGGGTTTGAGTCAGTTGGTGTGAAAGGAATTTTCCCAAGCACTGTCGCCTTAACTGCAAAAGAAACAATGCTGTCATTGGCTCTATGTTGGTTAAATTCAATACACATTTAATATTATTGTCACTTGTAATGTTTACAATGTTATTTTTTTAGAATGTATTAAATTTTAATAATTATTTATAAAACGTGTATTATTAACTCCTATACAAAAATTTAAGCAGATAATATATGGTAATTACTTTAGATTATTTAAAAGAATATTGATTAAGATTCCTCATATATTGATCTTTTTCATACTTCATGAAAGTTACAACAACCATACGATTGGGAGGTCTAAAAACATCTCTATCGATAAAATTACAATTTTCATCTGAAGTGATATTGTAGAATATGGATCGAAAATCTGAAATAAACTAATATTTTGGACATATCATCAATTATCATATTAATTTCAAGACGAATTCATTTAATTCTATCATCCAATATGTTTGCCTTTCTTTTTTGCTCGAAACAGAAAATCATAGTTAAGAGTTTCATTAAAAACCTTCTTAATTCTAGGCGGAGGAAAAGGGTATTCTCAACTAGGGGCTGGATCAAGTACACAAAACAAAATAAGAGACCATTTTTCTGCACAACCAGACATTGAGAAAGCTAAACAAACTCCACAGACACATGATCAACCAAACCATAAGAAATAAATATAGCAACAATAGAGTATAAATGCTGTAGTAATGAGATTAGTTATATCCTACACACCTGATCAGGAGAGTAGCATAGCATATATCAGCTTATAAACCAAGAAAAAGAATAACGGGAATGAAGAAATTTTAAGTGTTACCCAGAAATTTTATTTATTTCTATTTTGATAAAAGTATTTAGTTTCCCCAAATGCAGAAAATAATGGTAATACTAAAATAATTTGATAACGTTTAAGTAAGGTCTCGAGTTTGAGTCATTCTGTATGTAGAAAATTCCTGTAGAAAAACTTGCTCTTCAAAACTAGGTGTGCTACATGGGTCGTTGAATCAGACAAGTCGAAGCCTTGAAACCTGGAAGGGAAAAAAAGAAAATAATGGAAATGGCATTGGTTTAGTGTTTAATGTAAACAAGCCCACGGAAAAACAAGCCTAGAGAGAGAAGGGGGAGGCACTGAATCTATTCAGAAAAAACCTGTAGCCCAGATAATGACACTGCACTGCAAACCCTAATCTCCTTCTCCTTTCTTCTTCCTCTTCTTATAATAATAATAATATCCTTCTTCTTTGAATTTACAGCATTTGCTGTTTCTTTTCTTCAACTTTCACACATAATAATAAAAAAATTATACCAAGCATTGATGGAAAAACAAGAAAAAAAAATCTCACACCAAGTTAATCAAAAACTGGCAAATATGTAAAGATAAAAATTGCACACTCGAGCTCTTTGATTTTGTTATTTTGCTTTTTTCTTCAAGATGTTGTTGGACTATGCCCTAGTCGGAGCTCTAGATCAAGATCTTCGATTGATGTTTCCTTGAGATTAGTACCGGCGGCAGAAGTGCTTGAAGATTCGGCTTTGGCTTTTGTTGAGTAACTAAGAGAAGAACTATTCAACCCCAGAGGCGTCGCTGGAAAATTTATCGACGGTGGCGCCGCCACCTTCGAGTTGTTAGAAGGATGATATGGCGAAATGGAGAGAAGGGTCGAAGGTGAATCAAAGGAACATGCACTGTTAATAGGCGGATAAGTAAAAACCCCATTAGGGCTAGGTAATTGGTATAGGAGGCACAAGCCACTACTTGTGGCGAATTCTTGAGTAGTCGAAGACGGTGAGGCTTGGTTGATTAACGGAACAGTAACACCACCAGGTGGCTGTATTTGGTGGAGCCGAGCCCTGTCACGGCGATGCACGTTCATGTGACCACCAAGTGCTTGAGCTGACCTGAATTCCCGTCTGCAAAAAGTGCAAGTATACGACCTCGGCGGCCAAGTCGTGCCCATCGCGTTACCGGTGTCCTCTGCGAAGGCCCGGACTTCCCATGAATCGTCATCTGGTTCATGGGGTTGAGCCTTAGGGTTCCACATCCAGGAGCCAGCAGTGGGAATAGGGTTAGGCTGAAGACGAAGATGATGGGTCTGATTTTGTTGAAATTGAGCTAAGTTTTGATGGTGGTTCAATGAGAGAAGGCCAGCCATGGTACTGGAAACATTTAAGATAGGTTATGGAGGTTTGATGAAGGGAATGAAATGGGTAAAATACAGAGAGGATGGGCTTAAAGATAGAGACAAAATGAAACCCTAACACCGGGCATATCGCCCAAATCTTGTACCAAGCATTTGGATGTTTTGTTGTATTTATATTTAATTAGCTTAATTGGCTCACTCACCTCAACTCAACTAGCTTTTCTATTCCTCTATGCTTGCAAGGACCATGTCATACTTCGGCTGCAACGCCAACTTTTTTTATTGCCTCAAATTTCTCATGCATTTCCTCCTCTACAATTTAATTATGTATTACTATTCTTAATTATTATATAATTTTTAGATGACATGAATTTTTTTCTTAATTAATTATCAATCTTAGTTTAGAATTTGATTATATATAAAATTTAATATATATACTCAAGACTACATAAATTTATATGTAATGTATTAATAGTGACTTTTATAAATTATTAATATACTATTTCTTCTCATTGATATATATTACTTGATATTTTATTTTATATGAAATTCAATGTGTACACTATATATATATGGATGAAAATAAGACTGCGTTTTTGTGAGTATTTTTTTTTTTATAGTTTGAGTAAAGTTGTGATCGATGAAAGAATAATTGTGGACTAATGTTTTTATATTGGAGGGAATTGATCATGAAAGATGGAGAAGATAACAAACATGTGGACAAGGTTCTAACCCCTTTTTCGACTGTGCTAAAGGATATTTAAAGTGGATTTTATTGCGTGTGTCTGTCATGTGATCATTATAGCTATGTGTTTAGACTTTAAATTCCCCTCGGCGGGTTCAACAAAGAACTTCTCTGTAAATCTTATCTGTGTTGTAATTAACAAGTCTATGTTCAAGGAACAAAGACTTCAGATTTCCCTCTGACTAGCCTATGTCCCTTGAACATAGACTCTGATAGGTAAAATGACATGTATGAAGACTTCGATTGGTGAATAGTTGACAGATTAAGGTGTAGGTTAGGGGGTTTCGGAGGGATAACAATGTCCCGCCTTAGATAAGGGAAATGTTATAAAATGGTTTGATCCGAGACTTATGATGCAAAATATGTAGATTCGGACATAAGATCATTATAGTTATTTAAAGGTCGGTAGCCTAGGCAGATCGAATAATGGGATTTTAAATTTCTCTCTAATAGATCACACAAGTTTATTAGAAGTCTCGACATGGATCTTGTCGCATTATAGTTGACCTAAAGTCTATGTTGAGGCACATAGGCTAGAGTCTAATAGGTAAAATAGCACATCTAAAGACTGACGAGTGGAAAATTGACAGATTATGGTGGAGACTAGGGGTTTTCAGAGGCCATCCTCAAGAGGTATAACAAAATATGTATATGTATAGTTCTCAACATTTTTTTAATACAAAAGGGATTAAGCAGTGTTAATAAAACTCAAATCTATATCCAGTAGAGGGGTAATAACCGAAGGAGGCTGAGTATAGCGAATCGTTCCACATAGTTGGTCTCAAGCAATCCTCACCATCGCATCAACGACTCTATTTCCTTCACGCGCAAAGTATGAGCTGCTCGAACATTCCAGTTACGACAGGAAAAATGTGAGAGATTCGTTCTATTTCAACACCTTGCTGTAAAAGCAGAATTGCCTCTTTACAATCAGATTCCATAATAACATTTGTAATACCTGACTCCCACGCCATCATTAAGCTCTCATAAATTTCCCATGGTTCCGCATCGAGCACCAAGCATCATCCTAGGGACTTTGTGAACTCCGCCACCTAGTTTCCATGTGAATTGCATATAACACTACCATAAGTTGATAGGGTTTACAACTATCATCGTAAACTAAATACTATGTCATTTTGCATCTTGACAGGGTGGGTTCTGATCACTGCCCACTCATGTTCCAATGTCAAAATGAGATTAGAAGACAACAGGGCAGACCTTTCAGATTTATTGTCGTTTGACAGGATCATCCTTATTTTAAAAATTTTGTTGCGGGGAATCGGAGCACTAATCTGGATGTGAAAACTAATGTAAAGTTGTTTCAGGACTGGAACAAGGATTTTTTGGGCATATTGGTCAGAGGAAGAAGAAGCTTTTGGCTCGAGTTCGACTAAGGGGCATAGAGAAAGTTCTCTTCAAGTCTCATTCAAGTCGTCTAGTGGAATTGCAGGGGGGAGATAAAAAAGGAACTAGATGTTGTTCTTCGACAAGAGGAAAGCCTGTGGTTTCAAAAATCGCGAAATCAATGGGTGCAGATAGAAACACAATATTTCCATGCTAATACAATACAAAGGAGACGGGCCAACCGAGTGATCGCGCTTAAATCTACAGAAGGTGATTGGATTTTGGATCAATCAGTTTTACAATCGATGGCGGTGCAGTTTTTCTGTAATTTATTCACTACTTCCGGTGGGGATGGTTATGGTTACTCTGTTCGAGGAAGATTCCCGAGTTCCCCTGATGCTTTGGTTCGGGGGCTCATTCGTCCGGTGACAGATGATAAATCCATGATGTGCTCTATAACATGAATCCTCTGAAAGCTCCCGGTGTTGACGGAATTCATGCTTTCTTCTATCAACGGAACTGGGAAATAGTGGGTTCAAGTGTGTGCCGTTTGGTGAAGGAGGTGTTTTCTAGGGGTATACTAGATGAGGATCTGAATAAAACCTTGTTGGTGCTTATTCCGAAGATTAAGAATCCTGATTCTCTAAGTCAATTTCGTCCAATTAGTTTGTGTTCTGTCCTATACAAACTCATTACGAAGTTGATCGAGAATCGGCTGAAACCTTTGCTTGTTAATTGGATATCCGGAAATCATACGAGTTTTGTTCTGGAGCGGGCGATTACAGAAAACATAATAATTGCGCAAGAGGTGATTCATTCAATGCGACAGAAAAAAGGTCGGGTCGGATGGATGACAATTAAAATAGATTTTGAGAAGGCGTATGATCATCTAGAATGACCTTTCATTGATGATACACTCCGAGATCTTCAGCTACCCAGTAATTTTCGCGATTTTATTATGCGTCGTGTCACCTCAGTCTCGACACAAATTTTATGGAATGGATCAGTATCTCGGGGCTTTAACCCATCTCGAGGGATTTGTCAGGGAGATCCGCTCTCCTCATATTTGTTTGTGTTATGTATGGAGCGGTTGGCCAAAGCAATAAACAGTAAAGTAGGGAGTGGAAACCGATCCGGTTGGATCGTAATGGTCCACCTCTTTCTCTCTCTTTTTTTGCGGATGATATGGTACTGTTTGCGGAAGCCTCTATTGAGCAATGCAATGTTATTGGGGAAGTTCGGGAGGAATTTTGCAGTGTTTCGGGACATAAGGTGAGTTTACAAAAGACCGCTCTCTTCTCTAAGAATGTACCGGGGGATATTCGGAATGCTATTAGTTCGGGGTTTGGTTTCCAGGAAGTTCAGGATCATGGCAAATATTTGGGTGTCCCGATCCTACATTCTCAAGTAACTAAAGCTTCTTACAATTATGTGTTATCGTGGGTTAGAGATAAATTATCTGGATGGAAGGCGAAAGTTCTTTGGCGGGAAGGATCACCCTTGCTAAATCAGTGATTTCGATCAACCCCTTTTATGCCATGCAGTCCACCTTGCTACCTAAAGGGACTTGTGAGGAGATTGAGAAACTAATCCACTATTTTAACTGGGGGCATACGGAGATAAGGCGGGGAGTTTATCTGGCAAATTGGGAGACTACGGGGCAAGGTGGTTTAAGTTTTAAAAAACTTGAACATCAGAGCGCTGCTTTTTTAATGAAAGTAGCTTACAACTTGGTTATGAATAAGGATCAATTGTGGGCGCAAATGCTTCGTGCAAAGTATAGATGGCTAGGTGATCTTCCAACCACAATAGAACGGAGAAATAGCTCCTGCCTTTGGAAGGGTATTTCGATGGTTTGGAAGGAGGTTCGACAAAGTATAGTTTGGAATGTGGGAAATGGCACTAGTGTGGATTTTTGGAAGGATGAATGGCCAAGTGAGGCGGGTCCTTTGATTGATCATGTCCGAGATCCTTTGATAAGCAATTCCATTCCAAGTTGCAATGTCGCATCGATGGTGGATGATACTGGTCAGTGGCGATGATCAGTTCTGTTCAACCTACTGCCCGCAGAAATCTTGCTACGTTTACAGGCTACGATGCCACCCAAGGTTGCCACTCGATCCGATACTCCTGGTTGGAAGTGGCGAGCAGACCGAAAGTTCTCGGTTCGTTCGGCTTACAATTTACGGCTGGGGATCTCGAATGACTCGAATCTTCGCGTATGGAACATGATTGCTAAGTATCGAGTTTTTCAAAGAAATAAAATTTTCCTTTGGCTTCTGGGAAGTTATTTACTAATGTGGAACGTTTTAGGCGGCATATGAGTTCCGATAAGCGTTGCGGGGTATGCGGATATGAAGACGAATCGCTTGATCATTTGTTCAGGGCGTGTCCTTCGGCTTTAACTTTATGGACTGGTCTGATTATAGCGGACAAACTCGCGGATTTCTTGACAAGAGATATTAAGGATTGGATTGGTATTTATCTCTCCAAGCTTGATTTTTATGCTCGGGTTGATAATGATTGGGACCTTCTTTTCGGAGCTGTCGTGTGGTCGTTGTGGACTCACCGTAATAAACGGATTTTTTTATCATGATTGGAGAGAGATGAAATCTTTAATGGAGAGGAGCAGAAGACTACAAAGCGAAGCGCGGATGCTCTTGAATCGGCCATGGTTTTTTCAAGACAATCCGCTTCAGTGAGTCGAGCTTCCACGAGGTGGTCTCCTCCTCCTCAAGGCGGGTGTAAAATTAACACAGATGGTGCTCGGGAGGGTGCGACAGGTTTCGCTTCGTGTGGTGGTGTTCTTCATTCTTGGCGGGGTGATTGGCTTTTTGGTTTTTCGAGATCCATCGGCATTTGGTCGGTGATGGAGGCTGAACTTTGGGGTGTCCATGAGGGCTTGGTGCACGCTTGGAATTCTGGAGAGCGGAGAGTTATCTTGGAAATTGATAGCCTAGAAACATCTGGAGTTCTAGATCGGAAGCGGGGTGCAGGGGTTTCTTTCACGCTTTATGATCGGATTGCTGCTCTATTGGAAAGAGATTGGATCATGGAAATTCGTCATA